ATAAGGCCCGCTGGTGCAAACAACATAATTCTCCTATCGGAGAATGTAAATCGAGTGATGAGATTATGAATCTGGACTACACCCACAGCGTTCAGGATTCCATCGTTGAGCGACAGCACCCTGGAGAAATCCTAAATAAACCAAGAATCCAGTGGCCCAAAGGTAACAGTAAGGCTGTTTGGACAAATCTTGACAAAGAGCTTTCTTTTATCCTTAATAACAATCTTAAGGGTTCGATAGGGCAACAGATCAGTTCCTTTTGTAGAATAATATACGACGTTTGCTTTGAATGGTTTGGACCAGTAGTGGAAAAGAAAGATAAAAAAGAGGAAAAACGACCAAATCGACGACAAATCCAGAGAGGAAAGTTACGATCAGAACAAAGATTACTGAAACGCCGTTTTAAAGAAGCTCCAATTCATGAGAGGGCAGGCCTTCAAGAACTCATGAACGATATCAGAAGAAGATTCTAGTGATATCCAGAGCTGAAAATCAAAGGAAGTGTCAGAAGAAAAAGCAGCAGTCTCGGAGATCTTTCTTGATAAATCCGCATGCTTTTGCTAAAAAAACTCTTCATGGAAGCAAAGAGTGGCAAGCTTGATATCCCACAGGCGGAGTTGGAGAATCACTTGAAGATGACGTATTCAGATAATATGCGAGATATACCAATCCCTCTTATAAAAGATTTACCAAGACCTCAAGATCCGACAGTTATGTTTGATGATAGTGTGATAATGATTTTGTCCGAAAGGCATGCGCTGGTAGTGCCCCTGGAATGAATGGGATATCATATAAACTATATAAAAACTGCCCATGCGTTCTTAGGAAACTTACTATCCTCCTTCAGCAGGTTTGGAAGCAGAATATTGTACCACAAGAATGGTGTTTGGCTGATGGGATTTGGATACCTAAAGAGATGGATTCAAAAGGCATTTCCAATTTTCGCCCCATATCCCTCCTTAATGTAGAAGGAAAAATATTTTTTGGAGTCCTTGCTCGTCGCATGACAGATTTTCTTATAGAAAATGATTACATCAACACATCTGTCCAGAAGGCTGGGATACCTGGCTTCCCTGGTTGTCTGGAGCATGCACAAATGATATGGAACTCCATACTATCAGCTAAAAGAAAAAAAACAGAACTCCATGTAGTATGGCTTGATCTTGCCAACGACATGGGTCAGTCCCCACATCAATTAATAGGAATGGCTCTTGACTTTTTCAATTTCCCTGGCAAGATTAGGGAAATCATAATGAAGTATTTCGACTCAGCTTTCATGAAATTCACCGTTAAAAGTTATACTACCAAGTGGCAACCACTTGAGATCGGTATCATGATGGGCTGTGTGATTTCCCGCTTTTTCGTTTTGGCCATGCAACTGATTTTACGAGGCGCATCAACCACAGCCAAAGGAGTGATGACTGAAGAACAGCCAGTCCTTCCCCCTTCTAGGGCTTTTATGGATGATATCACAATTCTCGTCTCTTCTAAAATTGCTGCCAATAACCTGTTAGAAAAGTATCACGATCTTTTCATATGGGCGAGAATGAAGGTAAAGCCCAAGAAAAGTCGAAGCCTGTCATTAGTCAGGGGATCTGTTAAGGAGATTCACTTCAAAATTGGTGATGACACGATACCAACAGTTAAGGAAATGCCAGTAAAGAGCCTCGGACGGCTGTATACAATCCCACTGACTGGTCGATATCAGGGTACGGAGGTTCATAAATCAGCTCTAAAGGGACTAATTTCGATCGATAGAACCTATCTGCCTGGCAAAATGAAGGCGTGGTGCTATCAACATGGTCTATTACCCCGCCTTTTGTGGCCTTTGAAAATGTATGAAATTGCATTATCTCGTATTGAGCACATTGAGCAAGTGATCAATAAGTACTTGCGTAAGTGACTTGGAGTTCCTCCTTGTTTTTCGAAAGTGGGCCTATATACCAACTCCGGACATCTGCAGCTCCCTATACATTCATTGGTGGAAGAATTTAAGGTTGGGAAGGTACGCCTTCATATGATGATGAGAGACTCAGCTGATGATTGCATACGGAAGGTGCATCCAGAGATTAAATCTGGTACAAAGTGGTCAGCTGCAGAGGCCACACAAGAAGCAGAAACCAGCCTGCGAGTCAGAGATATCATGGGCGTGATTCAGAATAATTGGGCTGGATTGGGTAACACGACATACAAATACTTCTCCAAGGAGAATGCAAAGGGAAAAAGGCATATGGTAGTTGAAGAAATCAAAATGTTCGAAGAGGAGCATAGAATAGCTACTGCTATTACTCAAGCGAAACAGTGTAAGTGGACAACATGGAATGATATCGAACCCATTAAGCTTTCATGGAATTCATTAATTGCATTGGAACCATTGGCGATATCTTTCCTTCTTCGATCTACATACGATCTTCTCCCGAATGAAACAAACCTGAAAATGTGGGGATACACAGATAGTTTTTTGTGTCAAAAAGACCGAGGTACCTTGCGTCATGTGCTTTCTGCTTGTCCACTATCGCTCCAGATGTACACGTGGCGACACAACAAGGTATTAGAGGTGATAAGGGATCTAATAAGAACACAATGTGAGACAGCAAATCAACAGCTTGTGGCAACCAAGGAAACTAAGATTGAATTCCATAAGGAAGGGGAATGCCCTGCAAAGATAAAACAAACAGCCCCCAATATAAAGCTGCTGAGTGGTGCCAGTGATTGGAAGGTTTCAGTGGATCTAATGATATCCTTAAAATTTCCAATACACATCGCACAGACAGACAAACGTCCCGACATTGTGTTGTGGTCCAACTCTAAAAAGACTGTCTTCCTAATAGAACTAACAGTCCCTTGGGAAGAGAACAGGGTGGAGGCGCATGAATTAAAGAAAAACCGGTACGAGTCACTGCATGCCGAGTGTATGGAAAATGATTGGACGTGTCATGTGATGCCTATTGAGATTGGGTGTCGTGGGTTTCTGGGACATTCGGTCATTTCCTTCCTTTCAAAAATAGGCATCACTGGCCGTTGGTTGAAAAGTGTTTCGCATCGCCTTCAAAAAACTGTTCAACACACGTCGTTGGATTTGGTCGAGATCAAAACAAGCAAATAAAATGCGCGCAACATCACGACCTAACATGCGCAAGTGAGATATTTGCATGGTCATCTATAACAACTTTTACGAGCGTGTCGATAACAGCAAACGCGTTCAAGAAACTTTCATTGCAGATAGATTTTACTTAAAGGAACAATTAGTTAGCTTATCTTCATACCCTGCCTGGTGGCAAACGCTGCTGGTGGTGCCAGGAGTGGCGGTCCTGCCATAGCCACCGAAACCGTGAGACCACCCCTGGTCGGCGGCTGATGAAGACAGGGTATCGCATGTGCTGACACACGTTGTATGTTAAAAAAAATAAAAATTAATATATATATATATATATATATATATATAACAGTGATACCCAGCTGGCTGATCAGAAAAAGCATTCAATTAGAATGAAGCGAAAACATCATCATGTTTAGATATAACAGAATCTATCTTCTTCAATTATTTTAAAGTACTTTCATTAAAAAACATTTTGAATTAATGCAGTTTTCATTAAAAAAACATTTTGAATTAATGCAGTTTCTGATATAACAGAAGTAATCTGTATTTATTCAATTGAAATTAGCCGAGGACATGAAGGGGTAAAACAGGCAACATGAAGACCTACTTCAGACCACAATTATTTTGGGGATTTTGAAATTCAATTTGTCAGTGTGCTACCAGGGATGTAAAAGAGGATACATTTATAAAGCAATTGTTAAGTTTGATGAAAATTAGTTGAAAGATCAATGAAAAATAAAAAAGAAACTGCTATTTATGCAGGTTTTCACTATATGGGTGGACTCAATTATCAAGTTAAATGAGTGTTAAGCAATCAACTTATTGTTGGCTACAATTGAGTGAAGTTTGTATTAGATTGCTTGAAAATTGAGGAAGTTTTTAGTTTAAAATTTGTGTTGAAATCGATTTTTTGTTTTTGCATTATTTTGCTAATAAAAATGAGGTATCGTTGAGCTCGTCACAATGTAAGTAACCTACATACCGAGTTTGAATGAAATTGGAGGGAAAAAATTCATATGGAAACCATTATTTAACCTCCTGGGAAGAAGGGTACATTCTCCTTCCACTGCCCCTGTCTAGGCAGTGGAACAAGAACAATCTTCCCTCATAGATTAAATAAAGGGTTCTATTCAATGTTCCCTGAAAGTTACCTGTACCAACACGCACCTGAAGAAGACTGAAGGTACAACAGTCAAAATGTAGTTATAACAGCAACACAGATGAGGTTAATAGTCTGCATGTAAATATTGTAAATAATAACATCTCATCCCAGAAATTCAGACAAAGATTGATCAGTTTGTTCAAATTTTCAAAATTTGTCAATATGGAAATGAGGCATGACTTATTTAAATATTGCTACAATGCTATTGACAAATTTTGAAGTTCCCTAAAGGTTAACTGGATTTACAAGCAGCTGATGCAGATGAAGGGCACAATGGCCAAAATGTGATGAGGATAAAGATGAGCATTGATCAATCTGTTTGTCTTGTCAAGTTAACCAATTAATCTTGTCTCACCTATCTCTTGAAAACACACCACTGAAAATAATGAACATATTTCAGGAAGCCAGTTGATGACTTAAGTTCCCCAAACTTTGGGGAACAGCACCTTTTGTATATTCTATGTAAGTACTATGAACTTTGAATGCTTTGCCACAGATTTAATTACTAAAATAAAAATCTTAGAGTTTTTTTTTTTTTAAAAATGGGCAAAGATCTTTTTCACATCTTTCAATAAAAAAATGATTATTGATTTGATCTTATGAGTATATCCAACCCAAAGTTGATTGATTTTATTTTTGTAAAAATTCAAATTAAAAAATGCAATGGATGTTCATATAGTGATGCTTGAAGAAGGAATGACTGAACGAAATGACATCATAGTCAATTGTTTAACAATTTCATATCTCGCCTGAATTTTCACTTTCATCCTCATCCATTTTTTCCTCATGGTCACTATCCATTACATATTTCTCTTGAATGTCTTTGATCTTTTCATATTCAAATTCAGCACCAATCGCACAGGAAAGCATTGACTGTAAATTGCGTTCCTCTGTATCACCAAACATATAACCATTTGCCTTGTCGACTGTTTGAAGAACCCGCAGAATGCTTTCATTCTTCTGAAATGAAAAACAAATAATATAGATTCATGTCAGGATTTATCGAAGCCATTTTCAGTATATTAAATCAAGAAAGTCATGCAGATGGAATCCATAAAATGTAGAACTTGAAATCAATCTTTAAAAACTAGGAATCATCAACATTTCAAAATTTGACAACTGAAATTTGTGTTGCTTATGTTGTTACCCTAATATTTAGGCTGATCCATTCTACAGCCTTCTTCAGCTGTATTACTTGGAAGGAAAGAAAGGGTCTCTTTTATTTGTTTATTTATTTTCATAGCAGGTGTTCAGGTAAGCTATATTTTTTAGTTTCACCAGTTTAGACCTTCACAGCTAGGATGAGTCATGCCATGTACACTGTCAACTCATCCTCATTTCCTATGTATTCCATGTGTAAGGAGGAAGTTCCACTCGGACAGTTTCTTCCCCCAGAACTGTCATGTTATGGAACTGACTCCTGAAAGTATACTTCCTTGATCACTAAAATCTTAAGCTCTTCAAGTCTCAGGTCAGACGTTATCTATCCTAAATATTGTCATAATATAAACTTCTTACTTTTTGTTCTTATAACCGCCTCATTTGGTAACTCTCTACCTTGAGTGGCTCTTAGGCCTTGTATTGAGTAAACAATTTTTTTTTTAACAAATGGCCAACAAAATGATAGGTAATATATGTGAATATAGATAAGTACATTGTCTAACAGAAAAAAATAATCAATGCCAACAAATATATATTTTTCAAATATGGCTGATATGACCCCCTTTTTAGTCTGAATTTTAGAATTTAATAAATTTCTAATAAATGCATGAAAAGAAGCTTGTTTTGAACTAGGCCAAATAGTGAACAACATTGATGAAGCTTTTGTAACCTTCAGTGTATTATACACCATTTTTTATTTAATATTCCCAGCTGTAAAAGGGCGTGGAGGGGGTCTTATATACTACCAAATATGATAATCGCTTTCCTTGTCAATGAACTTAAGCCAATACTTTTCCATTAATTTCATGTTGAAACACTGGTTCCTGTATGATCATTGAAGTTAAGTAATGTCGAGCCTGGTCAATACCTAGATGGGTATCCACTTGGGAATACCAGATGTTGCAAACTTGGATGTGTGGGTGGTGTAATGGATAATGGCTTGGAATTGTTAATTGAAGATTGAGTTCCAATCCATTATATTCACTAACACACAAATACCCTTGGGAAAAATATGAATCCACCTCTTCTCCCCCACAGCTATGGGTTAATTAGTAAAACTTGTGTCATTAAATCATTGTTTAGTGTGGCTGTGGCCTGGTATTGAACTCACAACTGTTTGGGTATAGTCACTGGATCTAACCAACATCTTTATCCACTGGGCCATGTGTCCTTGATGACATGGTGGATAAAATAAAGGGTTTGGTTTGAAATTCCAATCACCTGAAGAAAGCTGTAGTGTACAACGACTGAAACATTGTGAATATGGCAATGAAGACGTGGATAACAGTCCAAATAATGTAAATAATGTAAGTCTTCTCCACAAGTTGAAAACTTAGGTGATCTCTGGACGAATTTTTGAACTGCTCCAATCTTTCTTATCAAATCGTGAAATGAAAGTTATCCTGAACAGCCACTCTTCTAGATTCTTTCGTACTAATGCAGGTGAACCCCAGGGCCCTATCCTTGGTCCTACTTTGTTTTTAGTTTTCGTTAACAACCTTCCTGATGGCATTATCTTTCAATTTGGTATCTAGGCTGATGACACAAACATTTACTCCTGTCTTGATAGTAAGTCCGATCAGTTTGATAAGATCAAAATAGCAATGGATATCAAAATGTTCTTCAGTCTGTTATTAAATGTTGCAAAGGCTGCCTTGTTAATTTTAATGCTTACAAAACTAAACTGTTCTCTATTAATCATCTGAGAGAACCCTCTCTGCCTTCTATCAGCATGGCTGATGCTGAGCTCCAGGAGAATGACTCACTGTGCCTTCTTGGGCTTACATTTTCAGCTGACATGAAGTGGAAAGACTATATTGAATCGAATGCTTGGTCAGCTGCTAGGAAGGTTGATTCACTGTGTTGTGCTAGATGGTTTTTCTCTCCAGAGTCTATCTTACATATCTATGTGTCTACCATTTGTCCATACTTAGAATATTGCTGCCACATATACATGCTTCTGCTATGTATCTAGAGCTCCTTGATAAAATTCAAAGAAGAATCAACAATATTATTGGTCCAGATCTGGCATCTGGTGTCTTGGCTTCAGTCACTTTCCCACTGCTGTAATGTTACCTCCCTTTGCCTTTTCTATAAATACTTGTAATTGTTCGGATGAGCTCTTCGCTTGTTGTTTGAGTGAGTGGTTGGAATGAATGAATGTTTTATATTATTAAAGTCTCGCATTGATTTTGTCCAGTTGACTGATGTTTCTTCCACATTTAAAGATTGTTGGGGGGGGGGGTTATTACTAATATTATTTTGTTTGGTTTCTTGTATATAGTTTTGTTTCACATTTGTTAATATTCATTGGGGTTGAGATTTTTAAAAATTGTTATTTTCTTCCCCTCCCCACCACAGACAATGAATTGTACATATGGGGACTAGTTAGGACTTTCATAGAGACAATGAGGTATTATGGTGGATGTACTAAGAAAGGTAAGTAAGAATGCGTTGTTTTGGTGTAAGGAATATTGTGATATGTTTGGGTGAGTGTTTGTGGCTAGCTAAGTTTAATGTTAAGACAGAAGAAGACATCATTTTCCCCATTCCCCATTTTGGCCTTGTGCCACATTTTGTAATTTTTACAAATAAATAATGCTCTTTGCTATGGTACCTAGACTCATTGAATTTAAGCATAGTACTAGACTGTCGATGAGGTCTCACCAATTTACAGTTGAGCTGGTGAGATGTAACTGTAACTTCTATGCTGACAGTTTCTTTACTCGCACCTCTTGTCTGTGGAACTCCCTTCTGGCTCCATACTTTCCCGCCAACTTATTCTGTAAAATTTAAATGCAATGTCAATCAGTAACTGCTATCCTCCTGATTACTCTTCTTCTGTTCTTGTTCCTTAGCAATGTTCCTGTTTCTAACTCTCCCACACCCAGTAACCCCTTGCGTTTCTGTGGCTTTACTGCCTTGCTTGTTCAAACTGCTGATCATGACAGATTGTGCTCTCTCTATATTTGATTAAAAATAAATACAAATTTGTCATATTGATATCATTTCAATTTAGGAAACTAGAAGTTATACTGTCTAGAGAATTAAAGTTATGTTATAAAAGCTTGAGGGGCCCTAGGCCTCAATCTGTATTAACCTAAAGAATGATCTGGTCTTAGTAGTATATATACATATTTTTTTGTAAAAATACAAACACTTACCTTAATATTTAGGGCCACAAAAGATACAAGACTATAGTCTTGAATTATTTCCACCAGTGCCGCATTCATTTTCTTATATTTTTTGAAAATTGGATCATCCTAAAAACCAATACAAAAAGTGTAAAATAAAATCTTATCTTTTTGACATTACAGCACATATAACACAAGATGAAATATATAATAAAATATAATAATATAATAAAATAATATATAATATTTTATATACTCTGAATATTTTTTTTATGAGATTTTATCTTAAATTGGATGTTTTACTCCCAAATCATCAATAAAACATAGAACTTCATAAATATTTACAGAATAAAGTCCATTTCAGATTAATCAAGAAATTGCTATAATTTAAATAAAATACTATATGACTACAATATAAATATTACCTACAGTGATTTATAAATATATATTTGATGTAAGCATGAAAAGCAACAGTTGGAAAACCCCTGACTTTTTACACTGTGGTATAAGAAAGAAATAGTATAACATTACAACGGGCTGATTCTCCAACCACCCTAAGATTAATTTTTCATTTGTTAGTCTTGACATTTAAAATTATGAAAAAATACTTTCTATTTTGCCCAATGTAGGAAGAGAGAAATGTACACATTCTAATCCTTTCCAAAGAAATTTCTAAATTTTTTCAGTTTTAAGATTAGCTTAATTTAAATTCAATTTCAATTTATGAGCTGAGGTTATATATATATATATATATATATATATATATATACACACACATACATACATACACAAATACCTATGTTTAGGCATGTGGCTTAAATTTCACTGGTTTTCCAGCTAATCAGGCACAAAGTATATCATATGATTTTATAAAAATACACAGATGTCACATGGGAAGAGTGCTGTTTCATAGATGAAAAATAAAATAAAATAGAATAAAAGATGCAGAAAATGAATTGTGGGCATGTTCATTAAAAAAAAAAAAAAAAAAAAATTAAATATTGTTGCTTATATTTGGTCCTTTGATTTATTGAAATCTCTCTTTCTCTCTATATATACATATAGGTATAGATTTGGATAAATCAAATGACCAGATATAAGCAATCATATTTTTTTTTATTATTTTTATATATATATATATATATATATATATATATATATATATATATAAATTGAGATGAAATGGAACTAATGTCTTTAATTTAATCACAAAATTAAATTTGTGGCTTTTAGCTTCCATTTTTGAAACATGGTTAGAACTGTGTAGCAAAAAACCATATTTTAAATCAATTAATTTATAATATGTAAATTTACATTGAGCACTATTTTGTAAAAATAAAAATATCTATAAGAACACTGGATTATATATCTTGCTGTTCTTTCTTTTTTTTTATACACACACACACACATATATATATATATATATATATATATATATATATATGTGTGTGTGTGTGTGTGTGTGTGTGTTCAGAACCTGTCAATGTTTGCGTTAGCACAAGTCATTGTGACCAAGAGTGTGAGTGTACCTGCATTGTTCAAACTGCTGATAATGACAGATTGTGCTCTCTCCCATAAATTGTAACTATGATCTGCACAGTATAGTTAGAGTTTAAACCAAATGCAACTGAGCAGGTGTCTACAACAGGGATAGCCACCCTAACAGACAACTGTACTCAAAAAACAAGAGTAGCCAGCCATTATATATACAATACTGAAAAAATATGTGAAAATTATGAGAATTTTATGTATTTTTTCTGAATAGCAGAACTTCTATCAAAAAGTGCCCAATAGATAACTAGAACTATATTGTTCAATAAATTAAGAAAAATTCAAGTGACTAATCTGGTTAGTTGACTCAAGAGTTTCATATTGAAATGCTCATCAGAGCTAGATGTTTGATAAATCTATTGAACTTATTATCAGCTCTCATATTTTATGAATGAATGAAATGCTAATTCTAACTTCAAATTTGAAATTCTTAACATGATAAAATTTTGTTAGAAACATTACAGGATTTAAATTTAGAATCTTAATATCTAGAATGAAAAAAGGAAACCTAATCAGCACAGTAGTTAACCTTTAGCACTCAAGGTGACTATTTTTGCCAAGCAAAATGTTAGCACTGCCAATGCAAATTGAATTTGTCAGGTGTGTAGTCATAACCTTCTATGGCAACACCTAAAACAGTCTTGACTGAAATTGAGAGCCAGGCTACTGCAATTTCAAATGTATAGAACTAATATATAAAACACTACATTTTGAGGTGAATTCAATATACAATAAAAGGGGAAGTTCTGCGATCAAAGGAGATTGTTATTTTGGATAAAAATTCTTATAATGAAAAAATAAGACTGCTACTTCATTATACAAACATTTATGAGAAAACAGATGATAATTTTTGAAACAAAGTAATTAGTAAGTCAGTTAATAATGAGAGCACGACATGGTTAAAATTAATCAATTATCACCTTAAAACATTGAGACTTTATGGCCTACCAAAAACCAACAAGACAGACATTTCAATATGACCCATCATTTACACTGTTTACATTGTTCGGACTGTTGTCCGCATCTTTGTTGTTGTTATATGCATGATGTTTCAGCTGTTGTAAGCTCTGGCCTTCTTCAGGTGATTGAAATTTTAAACTGAACCCTTTATTTTGCCCACTGGGATAGATTGTTCTAGTTCCATGTGCCAAGCCTCTTCTGGATATCTCAGTTTCAGTTATTTTCCTTTACTCAATTATACATAAAATTGTTAAAAAACGAAAAATGTAACACCGTCCCCATGTGTCCATTGTGTATATGAAAAACCGTAACCCTTGTAAGGGGGTAAACAGGTGTTAGATCTTAACCACAGATCACCAATGGTTTGGGATACCCTAATTCTGTCCCCTAGCTGAGACTCCATTGTTGGGTGTAGTTTTAGGTCATACCCAACACCCATTTTCCAGTTCCCTTGGGAGGAAAAAAAAATATCAATTGCAACTTTTCTTCATTTCCTTAGTGATTGTTAATCACTTGATCACATCATACAAAGGTACAAACATATTAATATATAGATATTATTTATTAATATATATAGATATTATTTATTAATGAATAAAGTTACTCTGAATATGCTCAATAAATGAGTAAATAAGTTATGATAAAATCTCATTTCAAAAGTTTAGACAATAGATTGGAATGTTAAATGAAACCCTCACCTGAAGTTGATCCAGCAAGTATGTGAGATCAAGAACATCTGTATAAAAGTCTAGATTGAATGCCAATTTGCCATATGATTGGATGAGATCAGCTTTGGACAAGACATTGACATGAGGCAGTTCCACCTGAAGCATGGCTGACAGTGATGTAAGCAGGACAGCTATAAATTTACCTGGGTCACTGCAATAATGTGAATCAACAAGATGTACTGCTGCTAGTCGATGGTCAAGCTTTAGCAGGGCGCTGAGTATATTTCGGACGGAGTTGTGGTGTGTGTATAGTTCCACCTGACCAGGAAAGTCCATTAAAATATAATGTTGTTTTGGTATTTTTTTCAGCTTTTCAATAAGCCAATCAATGTTTTTCTCGAGATATTCCATGCAGTATATGAGGCCTCCGTTCGGACCAAGCTTTAATTTGTCCATCACTTCTTCTAGGGTTATCAGCTCAGAGATGTCAATGGCAGGAACGTAGGGCACAAGGTCATTTGCGGGATCAAGGTTGATCAAACTAACTTGTCTTCCAAGTCGTGTCATGAACTCACCCATGCCATTGCAGTAGGTTGTCTTACCAGATCCAGGGGGTCCAATTACAACTTGACCAAACATTTCTTCCTTTTGCTGAGAAGAGGTTTTAAAGATTTGATTTATCTGTACAAGAAAGAAAAAGGAATCATGTTTTTGAATTAAAATTAGTAAAGAGAATGATTGTCATTGATGTCTTAATTTTCACTATGTTGTTTGATCTGTGTGGTGAATGGGGAAATGTTACGTTAAGTGCATTGATAGGGAAGAAGGTTTAAAAAGTGGCATAACAACTGTTTATTGAGGAGGCACATGCATAGTGGCTCAGATTGAGGAATCAGAGAGCTGAGTTTGAATTTCAATCAAATTCATTACATTCACTTACGTACTAATACCCTTGGGAAAGGTATGAATCCTTTTTTTCTTCCCCAGCTATGGGTAAATAGCAGGACAGACCGGGTTCTATAGCCTTGGATGGCTACCGCACAAAGAAATGGCAACCTACTGCCGGAAAAAAATCTGCCTTGTCAGTCATGTATCGAAAAGATACATAATCACCTAAGTGTGTAATCACGCACGGGACATAACTGACTGTTTACTGGACATACTTAGTGAATGAGTACTAACCAAGCTTTTATTTCTATTTTACGAAAAACAATTATCGTCAAATTAATATCATACTCGAGTGGTTGTCAGCAAAAGGAACAGCTCAATACGCAAATTACAAATTGGTAATACCAAAATCAAAAAAGTACAACAACTGAAATCTCAGAAATGTTTTAACAGAGGATGAAAAGTGCAACACTGATATCCAAAGGCATATTGGGATAGTGAAAGATTCCTTCCAGAAGCTAAGCAAAGTATTAAGAAACAGGAAAATTTTGTTAGAAACAAAGAAAAAGAGTACTGAACTGTTATGTACTATCAGTCCTCCTATATGACAGTGTATGCTGGACAGGTGAAGAAGAGACTTGAAGCAACAGAAATGTGGTTCTACAGAAGGATGCATGACAAAATTTTAGAGAAAACAGAAACAAAAAGGACACTTATAAAGGATGTTCTAATAACTGACTGATTTTAAATGTGAATGAAGTTTAAGCATCTAATGATTTTTTTTTCTTGCAGATTTAACAACTTAAGTCTTTGGCAATTTCAACCATGGAAAGATAAACAATCAAACAATATGTTAAAGTTTCAAGAGTGCAATTGGAAAAATTGTTCGTAAATTCAAAATACTGGGTTGGTGGCAGATGTGAAAACACTATTGCGTGCTCATTTACGCCGTTCAGCTGAAAACATTGCTGCAATGCAGGAGAATGTAGCCGAAAATCCAGACACCTCTATTTGTCATTGCAGACAGGAATTGAACCTCTCCACAACGTTACATCGTTTCCAATTGCACTCTTGGTTGGTTAATTAAGGTGGCCAAAAAAATTGCAAAATGCATTTCTGTTTGAATGTGCATTTTCATAATAAGCTTTGATAACTTTAACACATTTGATTGTTAATCTTTCCATGGTTGAAATTGTCAAAGACTTAAGTTGTTAAATCTGAAAGAAAAAGAAAAGTAATCATTAGATGCTTAAACTTAATTCACATTTAAAATCAGTCCAAGTTATTGGAACACCCTTTACTTAGCATCAGAAAGAGACAGTTGGAATTTATAGGGGGCATAATGAGGAAAGAGGGCTTAGAAAATTTGATACTCACAAGACAGAATGAAGGCAAAAAGAGGGTAACAATGCATAACCTAGATTGTCAGCTTGATTGATTCGTTTTCTATGGCTTATCAACTCTTTGCATATTATTTAAAGCCCAAACATATTTTTAGATTTTTTTTTGGTGGGTGTGGGAGATAATGGTTTATAGAAGGAAGTTTTACTAATTAATCCATAGATGGGTGGGAAGGAGAGGTGGATTCATAATTTTCCTAAAGCGTTTTTGCGTGTAAGTGAATATAACTAAAACTGAAACTCGTCTCTACGATTAACAATTCCGAGCCATTATCACCTGCATATCCAAGCTTACAGAATCTGGTATTCCCAAGCGATCACCCATCTTAGGTACTGACCAGGATCGACGTTGCTTAACCTCGGGGATCGTACGGGAACTGGTGTTTCAACGTGATGTGGTCGTAAGCCCTACTTAAGCTTTTTTTTTTTAGGAAATGGATGGCGGAACAAAGTTTAGGAGAAATAACAAAAAGACAAATTACGAAGTTCTACAATAATGGACAGGAAATTGCGGAGAACCATGATCGCCAACGTCCTGAAAGGTCACAGGTACATAAAGAAACATAACAACTGAATTATATTTCCTAAACAACAATGTTTAAAATATCATCGTCGAATAATACTGCTATATAGGAAATTTTATTCAATTCTTTCGTTAAAAACAAAAGTTAAAAAGCTACTACAAATCGATATTGCTTTTCTTAATTCTTAAACGTGTCCGTAAAAAGGTATTTGAGCCAAAATAAAAAATAAAAATGTATTTTTCCTCTATCATTAGTTACGTTCATACAGCATACATCAAACAAAACAAAAAACAAAAGACTCAATAATTTTAAAATATAAAAAAGTTATATTTGTGCGTGAATAAAAATAGACTTTTTACCAAACTTTACAAATGTTTTCGAAATTCTCGCGATGTTAAAATTTAAATAGGCAAAAATAATTAGCATTTTTTTCTCAAAGATGAATCAATGAACTACAAAAAGAGACAGAATATTTCACTATTTGCCGTTTAAAAAGATGAATCAATTGGTTTAAGTTTCTGGCTTATTTACAGTAGGTATACGCAAAACAAATTTAGCATACCGTGATGAAAACATGGTTCAACAAACATGAAAACAATGTTTTATCGTCAATATCTTTATTAAGAGGAAAGATGAAGATATTTTAATTTTTGAATATTTAATTTTTTTACTCCTTTTTAGAACAATCGAAATTTTGATGAAAAATCTTGTTTTTTCTTGCATTAGCGGATATACTATATTTTTTTAATATAGCAAAGTTTAACGTCTTTTTGTTGTGAATGACATTAATTTGGAAATTCGGTGCTATTACATTTTCGCACCCCACAAAATGTAAAACACAGCCAGATAAATTTATAACATGAAAAGGAACTTATTTTTAAAACATTTTTAAAAAAATTTTAACTTCATAAAATTAATTTAAAATAACAACAGTTGGACTGTTGTAATTATTTAATAATTAAATAAATTTAATTTACAATCAGTAGCAATGGTTTTACTTTTTACTTTTTAAAGCTTAAGTTAAAATGGGTTTCTGCTGTCAAAAATTTCTAAACAGAAAGTCAGAATCTAAGAAATTAAATATTTTTAATATTTAATTAAGTTTTTTTTTAACTTAATATTTGATGTTTGATTGATTAAAAAATCTTGTTTTTCTTGAGTCAGCGGATGTTACTTTTATAGCAAATTTTTTCATTGACCGGTTTTTGCTGTGACAGACACATTAATTTAGAAATTCTTGCAAAAATCAAATAATTGTCAGATTTTATTGAAATTTTCAGGGCTTATTCACAGATGAATTAAATTACTTTAGAAATGTTTCCTATTAGAGACATTCTTATTAAAAATATTTTACACTACAGTATTACACTTTTTTCAGTTTTTACAACTACACAGGTTCGAGGGTCTACTAATTAGAACAATAACAATATTCTTAAAAAAAAAAAAGAATGAAAAAATTATCATTATTAAAAACTTCTTTAAAATAAATCAGGGTTGGCAAGTAAAAAAGAAGTATATGCAATACCCTAAATAAGCTATATGCAATATCAATTTAAATTTATTTTTAATCTGAGATTTTTGAGAATAAATTGTTTCTTCCGGTATTAACTTTGAGATTTTTAGTAGTGTTTTATCACAATTTCAAAATCATATTTAGAAGCAAAGAGATATAAAAATATAAAGAATTGCGCAAAATAATCCAAGCCGTAGTCTTGTTAATTATATTTTATCAAGTAAAAAACTTACTAGACTCGTTAACAAAGAATTTTCTGAAAAATAACACTTTGACTGGTAAACACATGTATTATCACCGCCATATTGGAATGACTCAAACAAGAACGATAACTAAGTTTTAAAGTAACTAGAGTTATCTCCCTTAAAAATAACAATATGGTTAATTAAATTGAATGACAAAATGGAAAAAAAACTTGTCATTCAATTAACGACCATTAATCTGATATATAGAATTGATATATCATATTTCTCCCAAACAATATTCTACTGGGCAACTATTTTAATATTCAAAATGTCGCTTTATCTTTTTGCTCCTAGCATTCCCTCCTGGGACAGAAGCGCTTACAATCATCATCATAATCAACAATCATCATCATAATTAACATTATTGATGTTTTTATTTATTTATTTATTATAAACAAACAACACCTAATTATTTTCCAATTAATTATTTCAGTTGTTACAAATTTTAAGCGAAAAGGACAACTTTCAAATAAAATGAATAAGTAAATAAATTTCATAGCAATTGTTCTGATGAGCTTTCCTTTTTGGTACCTCGATTTTACGAATTTAAGCGCAGTGCTAAATTGTTAGATACGTCTTCTCATCATTTTCCGGTTGAAATTGCTAGATGTAACCATAATTTCTATGCTAAAAGTTTCTCCTCTCGCACTTCTCACTTTGGAACTCTCTTCCGGCTTCCGACTTTCCAGTTAACTTTGACCTTCAAAGATTTAAATGCAATGTCAATCGTTATCTTCTGTCTTCTTAATTCCTGTTGTTTCATTGTTCTTTCTCCTTAATGTTTTTTCTCAGATTTCTTCACACTCAGTAACCTCTTACATTTTAGTGGCTTTATCGTCTTGCATATGGCGAATTGATAAAAAGCAATAAGAAAATGCTGATGTAATAACTAATAGCAAGGGGAAAACCGTGAGTAACCAACAAACTTAACAAGTCTTTGTGAATGGATATCAGAATAAGACAAGGAAATATGGTAAATAAGCAAGTGTAGTGAGTGCGAAATAATAATAACTCCTTTCATTCACTCCCTTCAAATTCAAAGGACTGAGGAAGAAAGAAAGAAATTCGTGAGCCTATGTGAGATTTTTGCTTTCACAAAAATTTACCGGTGAGCCGAGAAGAAGAAGGAAAGAAATTTGCGAGCCTATGTGAAAATGTTTTTGGACCAATGAAAACCTGGCTTTTACAGAAATTAGTCAGTGAACCAAGAAGAAGAAGGAAATAAAGTAACGAGCATACACGAAATTCTGTTTGATATAAAATGAGGACAAAAATTAAATTAATGAGAAGAGTGTTCGAAGGCATGTGAAAGGTTTCGTTTCAGTTTCTCGCGACCAGCATTGAAATTCACGCCAGTGTAAAATTACTTGCCAATTATATTATTTGCCTCTAACCAGTACGCGGAAATTCAAAGAAAATTCTCTTAACAATCCAAGAAACTATCTCTCTTCGTCTACTTTTGAACGTAAGAAAACCCTATGTTCCTTAGGTGAGCAACGAACTCTCTTACTTTTGTCTTAAACATTTTTGGATATTATTTTCTGTCAAATCATTTAATCGGTTGTGTGAACATTTCCTCTTCAAGACAATCCGTTAAAACTACGGACATTAAGAATTTTATTTTATTTTTCTGGGCTACTGACACTATTTCAAACGTGTAAATTTGTGAATAAATTTTGTTTTGTTAAAATTACTAGCGTGTTTCATCGTCATTATCATTATTTATTAATCTTCTTGGCGTGGGTAAATCAACTGCTCATTTTAACCCCAAAGCCCGACGTCACTATACGGGAGTTACATATGACAATAAAAGACAGGTAGTTGTGGAGAGTCACTATCGCCCACGCCCTAAAGGGTCATGGAAATAAAAATAGAATCTTTTACATGATGTTATGTTTTTATAGCAGCTGATATATTTCTTATAAGATGCAGGCCTTGTAGAACGTAGTAGTAAGCTAAATTTTTCAGCACCCCCTCATCTTAAAAGGACGTGGCATATGGAAGAACCGGAAGAAGAACTAGGTTCTATTTAATGTTGGTTTATAGGAGATAATTTATGATTTTGAATTTTGAATACTGATTTTATAGGCAGGATATGCACAAGATAAATCTTTCTACTCCGATTCACTCTTACTTGGTCACGTGCCGAATTTCTTCCCCTCTGTGCCGTATCCTTTCAAGACGTAGGCGATCATAGCTCTTCACAGCTTCCCATTCTTTTTAATTCTTAGCAATATTTGTCTTTTTACAATCCCTCTCGTTCCCTGTTTGGCCATCCATTTACACAAGATTACTAAGCAGGTTACTCGCCATTTCATTCTGTCTCCCTTGCTTTCAATATGACCTCTGAGTATCTGTTGTAACCTAGAAAAGGTTACTGAATGAGGAATAACCAAAACAGAGGTTGGAAATGAAATGGTAATCTTTATAACATCAACGAAATATAATACTCGCCAGCGGCATGAAGTAGGTAAACCACTGCTAGTGGTGGACTACTTAGACAGCATATTACCCTCCACTTACAATAGTGTCCAACGTATTTATGAGGATTTGAACATACCCATTAGTGTTCAGAGGAACGGTATATAACTGGAGGAAGACCACAGTTGTTTTCCTTTGGGCTGAGCCCTTTTGAGAGTAGAACTCTTCTGTCCTCTTTGTCTTTGCTTCTGTTTTTTAGAGGAACGGCCTCTTTACCTTTCTGACCATCAGGGTGTCCACACACGTGGAAACTGGTCAGCATGTGCACGGCCTCGCGAAAGAAAAAAGTAATTTCCATTCACTTATCTGCGGACGATCAAAGGCCATAAAGTTGGTATGTTATTTCTTTGTTCTCGTTCTGTAAATCTCCTCGTTCCTTTGGGACAATATAGACAATCATTTGTTCTGGGACATATATAAATCTTTTTAATATATGCACGTAAGTTGTTTGCGTTATCAAATGTTTTGTTTGTTACGCCCGCGTATTTTGTCTTTCTATATTCGTATTCAGTGTTAGTGTATCAATGGCTACACTAATGCTAATATTAGTCTCGGTGTGCTACTGGAAGACTAAAACACGTTATTCTTCCTAACACAAAATAGTCGGTAAACTATGTGTGGCAGATACCACCATACTAATAACAGTATCAAATTTTCCAAGCCCTCTTTCCTCATTATATGTTTCAGATATTCCACCTGTATCATTATGGTTCTAAGTATAAGTGTTCTTTTTGTTTTCATATCCTTAAAACTTTCTCGTTGTTCACATGTTCTGTCCATGGTATTTTTAACATTCTCTTGTAGAACCACATATAACACAAGAAAGGCAATAAAGCCACTAAGAAACAAGGGCTTATCTCGTGTGAAAGAATAAAAGAAAAAGGAAAACATTATTAAGGAACGAGAACAATAGACAAACAAGAATTAAGAAGACAGAAGATAATGTTTCACGTTGCATTTAAATCTTTGAAGATCAAAGTTAATTGGAAAACAAGAAGTCGGAAGAGAATTCCACAAACGGGAAGTGTGAGAGAAGAAACTGTTAGCACAGAACTTACGGTTTCATTTCAACGGTAAAATAATGAGACCTATCTGCTAATCTATTACTGCGCCTAAATTAATAAAATTGAGAGGAAAGCTCCTCAGAACAATTACCATGAAAATATTTATAGAAGGCATAGGGAAACTATATTACGGCGGTGTGAATGTGAGTGAAGTCGAGGTGTCAGATCACGATCAATATCATTGTAGTCTTCTTTAGATTTGATCAAGAATCTCTAAATACACAGCAGAAGCACTTGGCATGTAGTAGAGATATTTAAATCTTGGACAAGTGGTAAGCTTCCTCTTTAAAGAAATTGTTAAGCATTCATTGCCATATAGGAGAATTGATATTACATAGCAGTTCAGCATTCTTTTTTGTGGCTAATGTTACATTCTTCCTAAAACGAGATTTTTTGATTCATGCTACACTAATTTCCGCTACTGGCCGGATGTGAACGCACCGAAACCGAAGACTGGACTAAAATTTCATCAACTGCGCATAGGCTCCACACATAGCTCCCGTTTTTACTCAAACACTCAAAGAAAAATACAATCTAGAATTTCCACACAATAGCATCCACTACCGCCTAAAGAAGCAAAATAAAAAAAAATGGAGCCGATCTGAGCATAAGAAAAGGACAATCAAAGGGACATCTTCAGCAGTCGGACGGCATAACAGCCCGGATTCACATCGCTCGTGGGAACGCGACCTCCCATCTCCAAAAGACAACTCGCCACGGTAAGCTACAACTCACTCTCCTTCTCATGCTTTACATCTCTGCGGACGACTTTTACCATTTCACTTACCTCCTTCTTTCGACGAGAGACATTTACACCGATTTATCATTTGTGAATTTTTACTTTAATACAATTGTTTATTTCTTAAACCTCCGTTGTTTCTTCCTTGTTTTTGCCACCATACAACACGCATGAAAATTTCCTGTTTCTTTGCTTGCTTCTGTAAGGCAGCTTTTGCTCTTCCAATGCGACTTCAGCTTTCGGGGTCACATTTTCTGTCGTCTGTTTAAACACTTCCCAGGTCGCTGAATTTCTACACTTGCTTGATTTTTGAAATCAATTTGTAGCTCGAATCTATTTTTCTTGTCGCCAACCATATCATCTTACCATTGACGTTTTATAGAAATCTTTCTATATAGTAAAAGAAAATCAGTTGTCTAAGGTGGTCCGAAAGTCTTGTCCCACATACATAATATAATTTTCTATTTCAGATCGCTGACATGATCTCCTACAGTTTGGAAGAGAGGTAAAGGTGACAAGACTTTCGGACCACCCTGTATATTAAACGCAAAAGAAAAGAACTCTTACTCAGTGTGAAATTGAACAGAAAAAAAATGTGTTTATTTAAAATTAATTGGAAATTGGAAGTGCAAGCAGGTTACAAAGGCTTGTTGAAAATATTCTTTAGACCGCCTAATAAAAATTAAGCAGGGATATGATTTGGTTAATTCGTTTTTTTACAGCTTATCAACCCATTGGAACTTATTTAAAGCCAGAACATATTTTTAGATTCTAAGAATTTGTTTGAGATGATAATGTTTTACTGATACAAATTTTACTAATTAACCTATAGATGGGCGACAAGAGGTGGAGTCATAACTTTCCCAAGGGTATTTGTGCGTAAGTGAATATAACGAACCCAACTGGAATTGGAGCTCTCTGATTAACAATTCCAAGTCATTGCACTATCCACACTTACAGCACCTAGTATTCCCAAGCGGTCACCCATCTAGACACTGACCAAATTTGACGTTGCTTAATTTCGGTGATCGTAGGGGAACCAGTGTTTCAACGTGATGCGGCCGTTTAGCTCAGATTAAAGAAAAATAGACTTATAACAGATTACGTTAAAAATGTCCTTGTTAATGAAATGCAGTGAAGATTACCTCGTAGTTGTGAAAGCCTGACCTCTCAGCAGTTGAGTTCAAACGTGGCAGTCACGAAAGAATGGTGAGATGAGGAAGACAGAATTAGCAATTGGTAGGAACTATGTGATGAAAGCTTGGTTTGCGTCTCTTCGAGGTTGTTAGTTTTGATCATGTTCTACGGAGATTTTGGTTGACCACTGGACGTTTCGAAATCTTCTTGTTCCTAGCTGCAAATGTTAATTGTAAAGCTTGTCTTGTTGTCTTTGTGACAATCCATCCTGACCGCGTGAACGAATAGTGATTTTCACCCACCAGTGACCTTGTTTATATTTATGTCGTCAGGATGACTCAGTTACCATTTCAAATTATCGCCGGTTTTAATTCCTTGCTTTTGATTGGTGGAAAATAAATCAAATAAGATTTCTCCTTCTCACCCGCACTTTTTTTTCTAGAACATTTATAGGATACAAATCCTATATCATTCCAACAAATAACTGAAAAACACAAAGTAGATTTGCACACCCGCAAAATCGGATCAAAACGACTAAAAACAGATTTCGCAATAAGGTGTGAAATTAATTTTCTGACCAATGAAAGGAGGCGATTTGCTAAACTAAAAAAAAAATAACGATCCAGTGTGAAAAAAAGTCAGCTATAAATAGAGAGACTCAAGTCAATCACCAGTCAGAAGGGCGCAGAGATCATAGAGGACAGAAGACTGACAGTCAGGTCCGTCACTGACTCAACCAGACACTAAGAGCAGAAAGTGGGGTAGGAAAGAAAAACAACAACAAATTTACAACTGACTTCAAAACAATTCAACCCGATAAGTACATTTTTCACTTATCTTTTATTTCTCATTCACACTCTCTTTTTCAACTTAAATTGATCGCCCCTTTTTCCTTTCCACCTACTCGGCGGATACACAAAAACAAAAGAAACAGACATTACTCTACTACTCTGTTGAAAGATAGCGAATACAGACATTTTTTTGTTCAAATCACATTTGCTGAAACGGACTAAAGCATTAATCTTTTTTTATTCTATTCACAAGATATAAAAATATACAAATGTCATTAAATATACAATGTTCTATTTTCTACAAACGTTCCTTATCGTGTTGTCTTTTCTGGAAATTTGCGTTGTATTTTGTGGGCAGGGTAACCCGTATTAAAACCTTCTTTTAATCCGGGTACGCTGTACCCCACACATTCGAATTTTGCTGCTCTGAGACAAATATAGCATCACAAAAAATGTAAGGCATATGGAGAGAAGGTCCGTCGAACACCTCATTGGTTATTAAAGTCATCGTCTATGGGTAGCGGTAAGGGGAATAGAATTACCGTAATTCACCATGCATAATACGCATTTTTTTCTAAAAAATAATAAGCAAAATCAGGGCTGCGTATTATGCACAGCTACAAAAAACTCATTACATATTGTAAAATGAAATAAGAATTATCATAAAACTAAATTAGAATAATAATATTCTATGTTTAAAACCATTTTTTAAAAATAAGGGTAGCAAACGCTGACCGTAAGGAGATTAAAGAGGTACAATTTACAGGGTTTGATTACCAAACAAGGGATGCGTATTATCCGTGAGTAGAAGCATTTTCCCACACTTTCAGCACAATTTTAGGTGTGCGTATTATGGATGTGAGCGTATTATACATGGGGGAATTACGGTATATTTTTCACATAAATTTTTAAATTTATGTGAAAAAATATCTAATTTAATTTGTTTCTTTCCGCTTTCCATCACTACCTTGTCTTGGACTTCATGCAATGTTCTTTTTGTTTCTACCATCAACACGTTGTCATTTGCGTATCTGGAGTTGGTTAGATTTTGTTCACAATAGATCCTCAAACGCTTTTCTCTTTATTCGTTGGACTAAAAGATTTAGTCATAATTAGACATATACAAATGTTTTCATTTTTTCTGATGGAACGGTGTTAATTGACGTTGATTACGATAAATAAACGGAATGTGATATAAGCGTGCCGAGTTCAGACTCCAGTCGTTGCTTTCACTTTTACACAAATACACTGGAGATAGTTATTAATCGATTTCTACTCCAACCTAACTAAATGTTCAATAGCAGAGATTATCTACTTTTGAGGTGAACAACATTGAATTCAAAACCAGTTGGGTGTGGAACTAGCAACTCTACCCTATAAAAAAAACAAAAAACATACTTGTTACAGAAATCACAGCATCAACAGTCAACAAAGTGGGGCTGTAACCATATCCTCCCCAGGTCGTCTTAAGTATTAAAAAAGAAAGGAAATTATTAAGTAATGTTTATTTTGACGTAAGCAAATGGCGCCAAGAAAAATATTTAATTTGGTTGTTGGCAGTAAATGCATTTTGATTTAGTGACCACAGGCCAAAATCCCTGTTCCATTGCCAAACATCCTGGCGTTGTGTTGCTTGGCCGCAAAGGGACAGAGATAAGTCTATAATTCGGATAACCTGCCTTTTGGCTGAGATAGTTGAATAATTTAGTTGGACGATGGCTAAATCAGTTTTGTTTATTTTCGGTATATCAGCATTTTCCAGGTTATTTAATTTCGAATTCTGTTTTACACTAAAAAGTAGACATAGGTTTGATTTGCACGACAATCATTTACGGTAGACATAGGTTCAGTTTGCACGAGAGTAAAAAAGGTAGACATAAATTTAGTTTACACACACACAAGAGTCAAAAAGTAAATGTAGCGGCCTTAGACAAATTAGTAATAGCAGGGGAAGTGAGAATGGGGTTTGAGCAATTTTGGTTGCTGTGGGACTCCAGCATTCCATTCAAGAGTGCGTGTGGATAAATATTCCTAAAGAAATCAAATGTCAGAAAATAAATGAAAAAAGAAAAAGAGGGGGAAAAACAAAGAAAAAAAAAAAAACAAGAAGAAAAGTATCAAAGACTTTGCTTAATGAGATCAAGGGACATAATATGGATACAATGTAACCTCCCTTGAAATGTAAGGGAGGCAACTATTTTCAGCTTTGAATGTTATGTAATATAAAGAAAATCTTAGATTGGAAGTAAGTTTTATCTGAGGAAAAAAAAAACAAAAAAACAAACCAAAACACAGAAAAAAAAAAAAAAAAAAAAAAAAAAAAAAAGCGGTCCGGTCAAAAAAAATCTGCCTGGAAGAATTTCCAACCTTAGTTCCAATCTCTAGTCTACAGTTACTTCTGTGTCATTGACTGACCAAAGTGTATATGTGCTAATGAACAGTCCAATTTACTTGAACGGAAGTAATTCTAATTCAAGGCCATGTTTTATGGAGCTGTAGGCTGTGACCCAAACTTCCTATCAGTGTACTCATTACTGCAATAAAATGTCCTTTTTATTTCTTTTTTCCATTTCAGATTTTATTTTGCGGGTAATGTTTTTCACTGAATTTTTTGAGATGGAACGAATACATTGAGTCAATTGCTTCGTCCAAGGAAAGTTGGCTCCCTGTGCCGCGCCAGGAAATTTTTCTCCCCGAAATCGATCCTCCAGATCTACAAATCAACAATTTACCCTTGCATGGAGTATTGCTGCCATATATGGTCTGGAGCCCCTTCTGTTTGCCTGGGGGTTCTTGATAGGCTCCAGAGGTGGATATGCAATATAATTGGCCCTGTTCTGGCATCTCGTCTACAGTCGCTCTCTCACAGACGCGCCGTCGCCTCTCTCTGTCTGTTTTACAAATACTTTCATGGCAATTGCTCTGAGGAGCTGCATTCACTGGTTCCCAGACTTCATGAGTTCAAGCGCCCTACGAGGCTGGCATCCCGCTCTCACCCTTTCACTGTCGAAACTCCTAAAGGTAGCCATCTCTTCTACTCCAATAGCTTCATGTCTCGCACCTCTCACCTGTGGAACTCCCTTCCCTATTCCAGTTTCCCTGAGATCTATAATCGCCAACTATTCAAATGTAATGTCAATCGACATCTCCAGTTGCCTTGATCTATCCACTATCCTTCTCCTCATCCTTTCTTCTATCACTCCTATCTGATCTTGCTCCAATTTTTCTGTAACTCCTTGCGTCCTAATGGCTTCTCGCCTTGCTTGGGGTGAAACGCTTAAAAAAAAAAATTATAAAAAGGTTTTGCTTATTTATAAACCTAGTATTCTGTTTTATTGTTTTATGTTAATATAATGAAGATTTGTTCCTTTAAAATTTCACATCAGTTTTGATTCCTGTTTCTTTTCGTATGCGCCTTTATTCAATATTCGGGATAAGAGATTTGATGCTCTCTTCTTCTATTCACACAAAAAAATTCTTTCATATCTTAAATTTTATTTTAAGAGTAATGCTTTTCAGTTAATTTTTTATATTTTAAATTTTATTTAAAGGGTAAGGTTTTAAATTTTAAAGATAATGTTCCTCATATTTTCTACATTTTAAGTTTTATTTTATGAATAATATTTTAAATTTCTTTTTTACATTTAAAATTTTAAGAATAATGTTTTACATTTTTTAAAATTTCAAATGGTATTTTAAGAGAAAAGTTTTATATTTCTTGCTTTATATTTAAAATTTTATATTAAGAGTAATATTTTAAATTTGTTTTTTACATTAGTGTTTTTCATTTTCTATATTTAAATCTTATTTTAAGAGTGTTTTTCATTTTTTATATTTAAATCTTATTTTAAGAGAGTTTTTCATGTTTTATATTTACATTTTATTTCAAGAGAAACGTTTTAAGTTTTTTTTACATTTTCAATTTATTCTAGAATAATGTTTTTCATTTCTTTTTTATATTTTAAATTTTATTTTTAGAGTAATGTTTTAAATTACTTTTTTCTTTAAATTTTAAGAATAATATCTGCGTTTTTTTATATTTAAATTTCTGCTTTAAGAGTGATGTTTTAAATTTCTTTTTTGTAAATTTTACTTGTTATTTTAAGAGTAATATTTTCATTTCTTTTTAAAATTTAAAATCTTTTAAATTTATTTTTTACATTTCAAATTTTATTTTAAGAGTAATATTTTTCATTTCTTTTTAAAATTTAAAATCTTTTAAATTTATTTTTTTTACATTTCAAATTTCATTTTAAGAGTAATATTTTTCATTTCTTTTTAAAATTTAAAATCTTTTAAATTTATTGTTTTACATTTCAAATTTTATTTTAAGAGTAATATTTTCATTTCTTTTTAAAATTTAAAATCTTT